TGAATGTGAGTCTAAATGCTTTGCAAGGCAAAAAGTGTTATATGTGAGTTTAAAAAGTGTAAATGTTAAGTGTGAATCTATGCTTAATGTATATGGTGAAAAAACCTGAGATACAGAAGTTAGTGTCCTAGGAGACTGCAAAGCAGGCAGTCTGAGAGGTTTTCAAAAGCTCCAGAAGCCGCTAAGAAGCTAAGAATGGCGGACGCCAGAACCAGCACAAGGCATCCGCAGCTGAGATCCGTGGAAAATCAACGCAACACAGAAAAACGTGAGTTAAGATCAAATACGGTGCGGTTTAGAATACTACTGTACCTAAAAAAAGGTCTCTGGCTTGAGAATAAGTTCAGAGACGCTTGTTTGAACAAAAATTGTTAACTGCAAAAAGTTTTAGTTGAAAAACGTCTCTTCATATTTTGAAGTGAAAGCCTAATACCAGAATTTATTTGTTTGAACTTTTTGAACTTAAAATGAGATAAAACTACAAAAAGATTTTGGTTATGGATTTCTCATATTTGGAAGGCTAGTACCAGCATTTATCATTTGAATTTTAAGACTTAAGAAATGAAATGAACAGTAGAGATTTCATTGCAATGGGACAATTTTGAGTTTACTTATAGTAATGACCTAGGAACTGTTTTCTGGAATTGGGTTAAAAATGGAACTGTTTAAATGAAGAAATTTACTATTTCTACCTAGAATCAAGATGCAGTTTTGTGTCTGCATATATGCTTTATTAATTGGTGATTCATGAATTGTTTTGTGGAACTGTTTATGTAAAAATGAAATTACTTACAGAACTGCTTTTGTGTTACAAATGGAACTGTTTAAATGGAAAAGTTTGGGTTTTCTAACTAGGCTTGAGATTTTGCTTAAATTATAAAGAAAAGGGGGAGAGTTAATATTCCTTAGTCTAATTTCAAAAGTTGTTTGAGTGGATCAATGTCGTGTTTTGTTAGTAAAAAATGCAAATGGGGTATACTAAGAGACTACTTTTAAAGTATAAAGAGTTTTATTATGAAACTGCTTTTGGATGTTTTGCTAAAAGTTTTCAAAGTGTTAATGGTTAGACTGAGAATACTTCATTTCAATATGGGTTTATAGGAATTGTATAAGTTGGGTTCCTCTAATTAGGTTTGAGATTTTGTTTAAAAAATTATAAAGAAAAGGAGGAGTTATGAGGTTGAATTATGTTTGCAGAAATTATATTTACCCTATTGATATTGATGCACCCTGGTTTTGTGGAGTTAAGGAAATATTTGTTTGTGAATACATCAAAGTTTTTTCTATGTTCTGTTAGCAAGAAAATTCAAATGATTGAGTTAAAGTTGTAAGACGGAGAAAATTGTTAACTATATATAGCACCATATATGCTAATTCAAATGGTTCTGTTAAGAGTTTGCTTTGAGTTGTAAGATTGAGAGAATTGTGGCTATGTATAGCAATATTTATGCTAACCTGTTATTGGTAATGATGAAGCTAAGGGATTCTTTAAGTTTGTAGTCACCTTAAGAGTTTTTGGTTTAGAAAGGGCTTGAGGCAGCTAAGACTGCTATAGTCACCTTGGACCTAATTCAAAAGAGAAATGCCGCCGGGCGGTGGTGGCGCACGCCTTTAATCCCAGCACTCGGGAGGCAGAGCCAGGCGGATCTCTGTGAGTTCGAGGCCAGCCTGGTCTACAGCGCGAGATCCAGGAAAGGCGCAAAGCTACACAGAGAAACCCTGTCTCGAAAAAACCAAAAAAAAAAAGAGAAATGCCATCTTTATCATCCTCTACTCCCATACTGGGAGGTGTAACAGCTATGAAGATGCTGTAAGCCATTAATAGTTACTTTTTTATATATTAAGAAAGGGGGACCTGTGGGAGCCCGTTCTCGGGTTCCTCGTGGCTTTACCCAGCAGGTCTTCATAGAGGATGATTAGACCACGGGCCTGAGTGCAGGTGTCTGAGATGGTCTGCACTTGGCTGTGCTGGGGGGGAGGTCTTTTGCTCCACCCCTTGGCGTCTCTATAAAAACCCTGGGGCAGAGACAGTCGGGGCCCGTTGGAATAGGTTCCAGGCCCTCTCGAGGATATCCTTTATTTTCTATCTGTTTATCTCCGCAAGATTCTCTGCAATAAATCCTTCTAATATTTCCTGCTGCTCGCACTCAAGAAAACTCTGGGGAACTGTGGGGGGTGGTTGGGTAAACGCCCCACAACCATGCTACAACCCACAGCCTAGGTAGCAAGCCGAGCCCAAAGAGGGACAAATGAATCTCCCTGGGAAGGGGAAGCAGAAGAGATTCTGAGCCCACGGTGAGGCAGAGCAGCATTAAGTGGTGTGGTACAAGGAGGAAGCTGTTTATCTCACCATGGACAGGAAGTGAAGAAAGAGATAGGAGGGAACCAGGGACAAGACGCTCACAAAGACCCATCCCCAGTCATCTACTTCCTCCAGCTCGGTAGTACACCCTAGAGTCCAGTACTTCCCCAAATAACACCACAAACTGGGGACCTAGACCTCCACACACGATATCAAGATGAAGGCAGAGCTGTTTCCGGAAGGGAGAATGGCTACCTGCAGAGAGGGGAAACATTTGCTCCAAAGCGCGGAACTCAACGCTGCAGTCTCTACTTACTGCTTGTCGGACTTCATCAAACATTTTATTTATGTCCTAGAGATGCTTTGAGTGCCATTGGGTCTGCTTGTGCCAAAGAAGAACAGTTAGACTAGAACTTCTCTAGTTCCCCTTAGAACCGGCAGCCTTACACATTATGTGTCAATAGGATCTAAATATCGTAAGCAAATATGATACATTGCCTCTGGAGCCCCAAAGGGGGATTAGGGGTGTAGCCCAGTGGTAGCATATGAGAGCTTCTGGGTTCCATCTCTAGTATCTCCCCAAAAAAGAAAAACAAAACATACAAAAAAAACCCCAAAGGCTCACCCAGTGCTGCTTTTTTGGAGGTAGACCATGGATGCAAGGCACACAACTTATCTCTCTGACTTGGGAAGAGAGATCTTGAGATGCCCCATATCATGTGACTCTCAGAAATTTCACCCAGGTAATGGGCTCCCTGGACTTTCTTAGGGTTTATCTCCTTCTGTGATTCTCAGGTGTCTTAGTAACTGGCCTGAAATTATGTACTGCTTCCTATCCATGATCAGAGCAGAGAGATACATTAGCGAGCACTGTGGTGGACCAGTGTGGTTTGATGAGGCCTGCCAAGATCTCCTAAGCTCTGTAGACATGTTATGGGAGAAAGCAGGAGCCTTGTCACACTCTTAGATGACATCGGGTCATAGCAAACTGCTACTGGTGGTTCTTGCAAACTGGCGTGGAAAAGGAAACTTCTGCACACAAAGAGCAGCATAGATTGTTAACAGCAGCCCTCAGTGTGTGCAGGAAGAAAGACGCGGACAATGGCTGCAGCTGAGTCAAATGTTGACGTTCACAGCGATAGAGCTGTTCTCCAAGGACCATCTGAGCTCTGGAGAGGCCAAAGGGGCCAACTGGGTGAGGTGTGGTGGTTGTCAGTGTCCCTCCCGTCAAATCTTCAACAGGAGAGCTGATCTCTGCCGTTCCCTCCCGGACTTGGCATGGCTTATCTTTAAAATCTTAGGCAAGGGTTTCCAGGGCTCTCTGCTTAACTCACTGTTACTCTCATGGCCATGGATGGTCCTTAGTGGGTGGAGACTCATGACGGCAGTCGGGGAATATGCCTCCTGTGAGCTATCCCACCTGAATGAGAAGTAGGCGGGCTATGTATCCACCTAGGCTGGCACAGAACAGATTCTGGAGGCTGGGAACAACATCGTTTACTATAGTCACATGGGTGAGACAGGGTTTAAATTTTGGTTTGAATATGTTGAAAAGTCAATGCTTTTCAGAATGGTGTTGGATTAGTGAGTCTAAAACCCAGGAGAGATGTTTCTAACTCCTCTTCCACGCTCCTGCGGCTCTGGCATAGCATTTCCTAGGTTTTATTTCAATGGCCTGTTTATTTATGTCCTTGATTTTTGAGCAGACTATAAAGGACTCTGTGTGTGTGTGTGTGTGTGTGTGTGTGTGTGTGCTCGCTCGCTCGCTATGGTACCTTGCATACAGCAGTTATTCATTAAGAATCCATTAAGCTGGAATGAATGGTTTTTCTCTTTGCCAATGTCCTCATGCAGAAACTCTTCCAGAATATGCTCAGTGATATCTGCTAGACTAAGAGAGCATTAACTCCAGGTTGAACATTGGCCTTGTGCCTCATAAATCTCAATAAAGCTATCTTTTAACAATGGGAAAAACACTCTCCCAAGGGAAAATTGCAGTGGTTAGAGTCTATAATTAATTTATAAAGCATATGCTAATATTGTATTTTTATATTAAGGTATGATGTGATATAAATGCATTTAATTGTCCCACACTTATTTATTTTTTTATTTATTAACACCATTTACAACTCCCAAAACTTAAAACTTGACCAATAATAATCATAGAGTATTTATAAGCAATAATACATCAACAGCAAGACAAAAATAACTGAATGACATGGCTTTTTCAAATATGAAATTGGTAATAACAACAAACTTATAAGTGAAAGGAAATAGAATCTTTGCCCTGAAATAGAGCGCAGGTGTATATTTTGTAGCCATTAAAACCTAGTGATCGTGTTCCCGAAGTTACACTAACAAACAGTACTTACGCAACTGCTTGGGATAAGATCAGAGTTATCATGACTCAGTGGCTTCTGAGACCTCGCAGAGAAATAAAACAATCACTACTTGGTTTACATTATTATGGTTCTCTGTGCCCCATGCATCAAAAAATTCTGTATTTTTTTTTTTCAATTGAATGTCACTTCTGTTTTCATTTCAAAGTCACATAAAGGAGTAGCTTCATTCAGGGGCAGACTTGTGCTACCGAAGAGCTGTCTGCTTTCTCTGGCACATGGGAGATGTGAATGCCAGTCACAAACAGCTGGGAGACGTCTGCCCTCAAGGGTTGTGAGGGCAAATGAACCGTGTGGGGGGGGGGGGGGGGCAACACTCGGCTCTTCTCCACGGTGACCCACTTAGACTACTTCTCAGGACAGCATGGAAACAGGATGGGTGATGCTGGCCAACGCTACTTGGTTGTAGAAATGGCTGATGAGGAAGTACAGAACGCAGATTTGGAAGGACAAGGCGACAGACATGAAAACAAAGAGGAAGAAGTAGGTCATCCTGAAGTGTCCTTAGGAGAAACAAGCAATGCCAAGTCTTATCCAAACACTTCATGAATGTGTTATTCATCTGATTGTACTGACGCTGATCCTCGCTCGGGCTTTGCAACACGACTCTTGGCCTGGGAAATCTTTGTACAGTTTGCATCTAGGTTGGTTCTCCCCGTTGCCTAATACGGGCAAGGCTCAGTTTCCATTTTGGCTGCTGGACTCTATACAGAGAAAAAAGATCTGCTCCCGAGTTGTAGTTTACCTGGTATCCAGTGTGGGTCTCTCCCAAGCATAGGTCACTGATTACATAAATCATTTAGGAGTTACCATTACCAAACCCTTCTAACCACACACACTATGCTTTAGCAATTTCTGTGAATCTTTTTATTTAGTCCTCATGAAACTACTATTTTTAGGTAAAGAAATGTGCTAAACGTGGTGGTATATGCCCTTAATCTAGCACTTAGGAGGCTGAGGCAGGAGGATCTTGAGTTCAAACCTAGCCTGACCTGCATAGTGAACCTTGCTCAAGAGATGTTAAGGAAAAATATGGATGTACCTCGATTGGTAGAGTGCTTGCCTAGCATGCACATAACTTGTAAGCCTGGGTTCCATCCCAGTGCTGCATGAACCAGATGTGGTAGTGCATGTGTATGATCCCATCATTTGGCAAGTGTACACAGGAGGAGGAGAGTTCAAAGTCACCTTTATCTGTATAGGTACATAGGGAATTCATAGCCAGGCTGGAATACTTGAGATCCTATCTAAAAAAAAAAAAAAGAACAAGAGTTGAGTAATTTACCACATAAGTCACATAGATATTACAAATAAAGCTGAAATTTAAATACAAATATGTTTAACACTTTATGGTCAACTAATTGCATTTACATACTCACGTGCCCTTCATCTCCCATATTGTCTTCAAGATGGTCAGGAGTTATCTTAGGCTTACAAACGAGGGGGATGGGAGTCACTAGACTAGGTGTCAGGGCCAGTTGTGAAAGCCATGTTTCAGGCATTATTAGGCAGTCAGCATCAGGAGTATATGTATTTCTTGTGAGTCCAAAGCCCATAAAAAACACAAATAAAATGGTGGTTCCAGAAGTGTCCTTTCTATTCAAGCCGCACAGAGCTTAGCCACTTTATTTTTGCTTAATAAAAATAAGAACACAGGTGAAATATTATCCATAGAGCAAATGTAATATCTTAAATATTAAATGCATACAGAAAATCACAAGGCTGATTCTAGGAAGCTCATCCTAGAAAAAAAGGACCCTCTGCTACTAATTTTGTTGTTTTTCTTAAAAGTTTTATAACATTTATTTGGTACACGTATTAGTTACTTTTCCACTGCTGTGATAAAATACCATGACCCAGGCCACTTATGAAAGGAAGCCTTTATTTGGATGTGTGGTTCTAGACAGATAAGAGTCCATCAAGGCACGGAGGCAGCATGTACGAGAGGTCATAGCTTAAAGCAAGCATGAAGCAGAGAGAATGCTGAGAATGGAATGGTGTACAGCTTGGAATGCCCGAGACTGTGGGGGCACGTATCATTTAAATCACTACTCTGTGTGGGCATGTGTGTGTACACATGTATGTACGTGTATGGGTACTTGTGCATGCCATGGCATGAATGTGGAGGTCAGAGGACAGCATGCAGAAGTTGGTTCTCTATTTCCACTTCTTCCCATGTCAGTTCTGGGGATTGAGCTCTGGTTGTCAGACTTGGTGGCCAGTGCTTTTATCCACTGAGCCATGGAGCCCACCCTCCATCATATTTTCTAACTGGTGAAGCAAAACTCGGCAATTGAAGTGTTCGAAGGGTACTTTTTTTTCTTACCTCAAAATTACTAGGTAACAAATGTACTTATCATCTCTGTTCACTGTGTTGTAGTAGTAACAATTTTAACTTTAACAATTACATGTTTGACTAGTAAGGAAGGACTCTCATTTTTTAGAGCTGTAAGTTAAATTTATCTCTTGATGACTGTTGAAATTGCACAAATATTTTTGAAAGTCTCAAGGTTTGCCTTCAAGTTGCCCTGGCAGATAAATAGACATTTTATATTTTATATTTTTGGTTGTGAGCCTAGCTTTTAACGGCTGAGCCATCTCTCCAGCCCCATTTTATATTTTAAAACAAAGCTGGCTTGAAACTGGTCAAGACAGGAGGAGGATGACACTCTGTTGTAGATAGGGAAAAATACATAACATACACACACACACACACACACACACACACACATATATTAGACTTTCAAATGATCCGCTGAAGTATGATTTTTGGCTTGGCAGGGTGCACATTCAAGCTTAACTTTAAATTAAGCATGTTTAACGTGACTTGTATAGAAATTTATAATTCAGAGCTGTTAGTCAGTGGTTCCAATGATAAGCATGTAAAATAGATTCCTCTGTTCACATGATAGTAGAGTCCATTTATTCACATGAGAATGTAAAGAAGTGAAAATATTTATAACATAATGTACATGTGTATGAGATAATGAAGTTTCAGAATGTCTTTTTGGCTAAAGAAACGCTATTGAAGCTGGACATGGCTGGACACGGCTGGACATGCCTGCAACCCCAGAACTAGGAGATGGAGGCAGGAGGATCCTAAGAGTGGACTAGCCAGCCTACACAAAATGGTAAGCTTCGGCTCAGCGAGAGCCTGGTCTCAAGCCAATGAGGCAGAGCATGACAGAAGAGGACATCTGACCTGTAGGGTTCTCGTGTACACATGGGGGTGAATGCGCTGGCACCCTCACATACATGTTACACGCGTGTTTGTGCACACGCACACATACACACAAGTGCTATTTGCTCCCAGTTCTTGTTAATGAGCAGTATGCCTTATGATGTGTCCATATAAATGTTTATTATTAAAACGTTCTTTTTAATTTATAACATTTATTCTAAAAATGAAGCAAACTTTAAGCCTGTTCTGGAAACAATTATTGTACATTTAAGGACAGCTGTGTTAGCTGAGTGTGAGAGTGCATGCCTTATAATCTTGGCAGTTCAGAGGTAGAGGTAAGAGTTTCAGGAGTTCAAGGTCAGTCTTGACTGTGCAGTGAGAATGAGGCTAGCTGGGCTATATAAAAAAAATTGTCTCTTAGAAAAGAAATCGTTGTCTTTGAATTTATGCAATATCTTCCTTTAAATCAAGCAACAAGTTGGAAAATGTTTCTTGAGGACCTGTTCTGTTTTCAGCTGTAGGTGTATAAAGAGCAGGACACAGAGATATATGCTGTTGTAATCTTTCGTTTTCAAGTATTATAAACTTCCTCCCTGCTGCCTAGCATTCACAGTGCTGGAGGAGAAATGGGAACAAGACATCAGTGCTCTCATTCAGAGCTGGACACTGCAGCAGACCTACCCACTGGCACAACAGCAGCATGGCTGGTCCAGGACTAACCAATCACTTTCTGGCTGGATCTGAGGCCTGCTCCACAGGAGGGAGTTCATGCCTGGTACTGAAAACCTAGTCAAAGGCCCACACCTGGGGAGGTCACGGGCCCTCGAGGGGAACCCACTATTATGGTTTTACTCAGTGGACGTGTTGTCAAACTGCCATAGAAGTATTTACGTTTATACCCATAGATCAACGCTGCTCTCAATCTTGGTCGGAGACACTTTCTCTGCGGGGGCAGCAGTGATGCAGAGACTCATCACAGGTTGAACAAGGTGCTGAGAATGAGTGACTGAGTTCTCAGCCCTATGTGGGGCATCCATAGCACCCTCCTCTCCCCAGGCTCGGGGACCATCCCAGAAGAGGACTAGAAAGATTGAGGGCATTGGAGGATGGGGAGGAGTACTGTGCAATGCTGTCTCCTGGACCTGACATGCCTGTCTGCACTCGTGAACTCACAGCATCTGTGGTTCCCCGTGCAAGGTCAAGACAGTCAACATTCTAGCAGAGCTGGAAGAGTGACACAGGAAGCCCCACCCCTAACTGAGGAGCTGGTGGCAGTTGATGGCTGCTGGGGGCAGAGTCATTTTTTCTGTCGGGGTGTAACCACTGGTAGGTTATCCATGCTCCAGTGTGTCGGGGCAGGCTGCCTGGAAAGATGACCCAGCAGTGAAGAGTGAGTACTGCTCTTCCAGAGGACCCAAGTTCTGTTCCCAACACCCGTGTCGAGTGGCTCAGAACTACCTGTTCCAACTCCAGGGTCTCTCACACCCTTTTATGGCCTCTGCAGGCGCGCACACACACACACACACACACACACACACACACACACACACACACAGGCACACATACGCACATTCGCACATACTCATACACACACATGTATAATTAAAAACAAATCTTTTTTTAAAAGAAAGGACATGAAATTAGGAGAGAGACTTGTTGGGAGCGTCTGGAGAAAGTTGTATGGGGGCAATGGGAGTGGCTATTATAAAATATTGTGTACATGCTATGAAATTCTCAAAAAATATAATAAAAAAATCATACACACTTATACATACACACAAGAAAAGAAACCAAAAAATTTTAGCACGATAACATTAACTGTATAGATTGTTTTCAGGTGACTTTTTTCTTTTCATATATTTTTGTAGTGTAATGTTAATATTTTCCCAATTTGAGTGCGTAATTCATTGATAGGAAATGACAGTATTTTGACTTAGCCTAGCTGTATCCAGCATCATGAGTTACATAAGTCTGGAAGTACAAGGTCTAGAAAAGAGCTTTCTGAAGGTGGAAGTTCTGCCAGTGGGGATGCCTGGGAGGCAGGGGTAGTATCAGTTTGGTTTGGGGAGGAAGCGGCCCACACCTCAAATGAACGTACATTTTGATTGAAGAGGAAAGACAAAGTCACGAGGTAGAAGCAGCTTTTTAGAAGTAGCCGAGACTCTTTTCTAGAGGTTTCTGAAGGTTCATCTGTCTCTCTTTCCATCCTGTCTCACTCGCATACTTTGTAGACGTGTCTATTTTTGTACAGATCCCACAGAACTATTATTGCTTCTTGGCTCCTCTTTTCCCATTGGCCTCTGAGCACTGAGAAAGGTAGAAACCAGAGTCACTTTGCATCATTGTTTCTACCAGAGACGCACTGTACCTAGAACAGGCTACATTTTGTCCACATGTTTCTTAAGTGGAACAGAAGACACCAAAAAAAAAAAAAAAAAAAGATTTTAAAATGCAGAAAAACACACAGCTAGAGCAACTGGATATCTTAAGAATGTGATTTTCATGGATGATGAATCCATGAGTTTCTATCATATTTAATATAAAATATTAATATAATATATTTCTATGCCCTCCAAAAATTTCAAAAGCAGGGGTCATGACATGGCTCTGGGTAAAGGCACCTGCTGCTAAGTCTGATGACGGGAGTTCAATCCCCAGGGCCTACCTACATGGTAGAATGGTGGGAGGAGAGAACCAATTCTCTCAAGATCTTCTCTGACCTCTACATGCATGCTGTGTTACACACACACACACAGACACATGCACACATGCACACGCACGCGCACATGCACATGCACACACTAACTTACAAACATTACATAACCCAGCAACTGCAATGCACTGCAGACCTCTGGCTTCCCCCGCTCTACATCTGTCACTTTTGTCCACTCCACTCTCCTAACGCTTAGTGGGTGTGTAGAACTCAAGCTTGCTATTTTTAGCAGTGAATTATCAGAGAGTCTTAGACTCAGCGGGACCATGGTATGCAGATTCTGAGACCATGGCAGCAGAACTAGCCATTGTAGGGCAATCAGAGATTTGCTGAGTACAACCCTCTGTTATGAAGAATTGGAAAATGCTCCCCTGACATAAGATCGCAGACATTCAAAATGTCTGCAAAAATAATCCTTATTAGGGCAAATTGGAGGACAGTAGAAACTTTCTAACATTTGCACAATATTGATATGATGCTCTTATAAGACATCCCGCTCTGGCGAAGGCGAGAGGCTCTCTTCTTATCCTACTGGCTTTGCTGAGCTTTGAGGGTTAAGATTGTGCCACCACAGACTTGCTTTGTCAATACAGATCAAGGGCAGTTAATCTAGGTAGGCTTGACATTTGGGGGCTGGGTAATCTAAACTGTTGCAACCATTTTGAGTGACTTTAATGTAAAATATAGCCAAATGGATCAAGGTTATGTCCAAATCAGATTTCATCTATTTTTTTCTCCTTGAATATCAGGATAACTGAGTAAAATAAATTAAAAGTGTGGGTGCTTAGACTGTCTGGATTTGGATACAGGCTCCATCACTGTCTCATAATCAGTCTTCTAAATGTTTGTCTCTAGACATAGCCTGTTGGTTCTGTTCCTCTGGCAGACTAGGAGTAACTCACACATGTATTTTTTGAGTTGTATAAGAGGTAGAGATTTTCACTGCTGTCATTGAGGCGGCTATCTCAATGCGTGTTCAAGTCTTTGTTTGTTTGAAGGTGTTTGAGTATCGATCACCATTTCGTGAATCTAGCTGGAGGGGAGTTGAGTTGAGCACTTCAAATTCAGTCTAGCTGAAACAGTAAGCTTCAGGGTCAGTGAGGACTGTCTCAGAATAATAAGGTGGAGTGACAGAGAGAGACTGTTACCATCACCCGCCGGCCTCCATTATATGCGTGCATGGGTGAGCGTGTGTACACCCACCTACCCACCACACTCACACCTCACATACACATACCACACACACACACACACACACACACACACACACACGAGAATTATGGGCTCCTGGTTGGATTGAACACATGCTAGACAAGCACTCTATGACTGAGTTGGATCCCAACCCCAAGCTATCCCCTCTCCTCATCTATAAGTGCTTCAAGAAAGAACAAAGGATAATCCGCACAAAATGGGATATGAAATAAAAGTGATGAAAATGTGTGTGCTCAGATATCAAGAAACAGATTTTTTTTTTAAGTTGGGGAAAGTCGGAGGGTAATTTTGGGTGGGAAGGGGTTTTCAAGACAGGGTTTCCCTGTGTAGCCCTTGCTGTCCTGGAACTCACTCTGTAGACCAGACTAGTCTCAAACTCAGAGATCCACCTACCTCTTCCTCCGAAGTGCTGGGATTCAAGGCATGTGCCACCACTGCCTGGCTACAAAGGGTAATTTTTAAAGCAGTATTATTCCCTTTAAAAATGGAAAGAAGTAAGCTGGATGTGGGAGGCACTCCCTAAATCCCAGTGCTTAGGAGGCTGAGGTGGGACAAGCCTTTGAGCCCCGTTAACTCAGCCCTCAAAAAAAAAGAGGAAAAAAGAAAGAAAAATTCTTAGTGGAGTTAATGGTAGGCTCTTGGGTTCTGTGGGAGTTAATGAAGAAGAAGGAGAAGTCATCTGGGGGAAAAAATAAAGGAATTTCTTGGTCCCTCTTTTTTTGTGATGATGGTTTATAGTGACTAGTTATGATAGAAGGCAAAGCTAATCAACCACAACATGAAGTACCACATCCAGTACTCCTCTGGCTTTCCTCTAGAGCCATTGCCAAGCCATGCGGAAGTGGAAAGACCACGTGCCGAGTCCAGATGTGGAAGTATTCTGGCCGTCAGCCTCATGTAGTTGAGGCTCTGCCCACAGCAGCCTTTGGGCTTTAACATGATTACCCAGTCCCGGCCACCACCTGACTGCAAGTTCCTAAGAAACCCCGATTTAGGTCCTCCCAGCTGAGCTCAGCTAACCAGAGCTGGGATAAAGTGAATGGTGTTTTAACCCACAACATTTGTTTGGGAGTCTGTGCGTTTCGGCAATAGATAGTGGCAACAGTAAATATATGCCAACTTTTATAGATTTATAATTTATCTAGATTCATCTCATGCTAAGGAAATGCTAACTTACAAATACACTGTTATATTTGTAAATTCTTTTTTTCTTCTTAAAGCCCCTCTAAATTATCAAGCTCTCCCCATCCATCAACTCTGGTTTTGCTACTGCGTGTAGCCATAATTTCTTATTCATAATGTGGTTAAAAACTTAATATATGCAGTTTAACAGATTTGTGAATCTTTTAAGGCAATCCTTCTTGTTTGAAATTGAAAAAGCCCTTCATTTGGAAAACACGTTAAAATGTTAACAAAAGCAAAATTTAAGCTTATATTCTTTATTCTTACTACTTTAAATGTCAACTGCCTCATTTGAGATCAAAATAAGAGGTTCTTATTTTGACAGACAGTGAAACTTGTTTTTGGAATAAGATGATATATTCAACAGATGGCTCCTAAATAGTTCTTTGCCGAAAGTGGCAACTTTACATAGTACTGTGACGTCAAGACAAGACTGGAAATATTTGACTTATGTTATGATTCTTAGAACAAATGAAAAAAGAAAGAAAGAGAGAAAAAAAGGTGTTCTATAACGTGCAGCATCCCAGAATAGAGTCTGGGTCACTTAAAATGTGACTTTGGAAGCTGATCTCCAGTTCCAGCTAGTTGAGAGGCTGAGACTGTAGTTGAGGGAGCGGCTGGGAATCATCTGAGGCTCAGTCTCTAAGAAAGAATATCTGCTTTGGATAGATTCACTGTTCTGAAATAATCAGCTCCGGTGGCAGGATTCTCTGAATTCTGTTTTAGTCTTCTCTGCCTGCTTTCCACGTCATGTCAAAGCCACCTTGTTTATGTTAGCTGGCTTGCAGCCTGATGGAAAGAGTTCTTATCATAAACATGTTGACCAGCGTCAGATGAGTTTCACTCAAGGCTAACTTACCTGTGAGCTAACACAAGTGGGAATGAGGAACCGGCTGTCTGGAAACACTGGCCCTCTTACTGCTGGTCTCCAAGGTGGGGAGGACTCCAGCAATTCCGGGGCTGGGCTCATCAACGTCTGGAAATTGGCTGTGTTGGGGTTATCACCAATCCTTCCAAAGGTGAATGAACACTTCCCCAGAAAGATACAGCAGCTGCTATGATTAACTGAGCAACAGAATATCAACATGACAAGTTGTGGATGGCTGAGCTGAGAGACTCTTGCCCATAACAAAGTCAGAAAGGAGACACTATGAGGTACCCCTTTGATTAATTCGGCTGACCGCTTGAGGAAAGGCACGGATGATCTGTTATGCAGATTATCTCAGTGTTTCCAGGTTCAGATTAAAAAATGAGTTCTTGGTTCAAAAATCAGAATCAGTTCAAGATGGCATCCTGGCTTGGGTTATACCTTCCTTGTTTCTCTCTCTTTCTGGGACAGACATTCCTGTCTCCTTTGTGGCTTCGGCTAGCCAGAGTTAATCTAAACAGGAAGTTTGGGCTGTAACCATTTTCAGTGTAGAAAAGAGCCGGCCCTGGAGCCAGAAGAGCCAGACGCTGGAAGAGTGCAGAGTCTTTAGCATGTGACCAAGGTCCTAAGATTCTCTCTCCTTGCAAGGCTGCTTCCCCTCTGATTTCCTTGAGGCTAAACATAACTCCTGTGGGAAATAGCATAAAAAAAAAATCTTCATAACTTACTGTGCAGGCAAATTGCTTCTATGAACATTTGTATTTAAGTATTGCATACAAAGTAGTCATAACTATCACCTTTACCATTAGAAAGCTGAAGTTCAGGACCAAGTGAGCTATTGAAGGTAATTATCTCTAGTTGAGCAGGAAAGCTGGAACTCAAAGCCATCTTGACCCCTGATTAGAACTTCTGCCTCAATGTAGCCACAGTAGCACACCTGCCTACTTTTGTTTATTTTTCTATTTCTGAGCACTTAGTATGTATTCATTAAATATTTGTAGTGTAGGGTTTGGAGATGGGCCTTGGGGTTTGAACGCTAGCCAAGTTCATGCACAGCCATGACCTTCAGCAGCATCGCCAAAGCCCTTCAGTGTGTCTGCTGAGATTTGCTCTTAGGGTCTCATGGACCATAGACTGACCTCCGAGTCATTGTATAGGTAAAAGATGATCATGGACTCCTGATCTTCCTGCCTCCCCACCTTACAGGCATGAGCCACCACTACTGGTGCAAGCCATTATTTCTGAGGAGAAAGATGATGTATGGAAAGCTGTGAGAATTCAGATGCCCTTATTGAGTCTAGAGACACTCAACTCTGACTCACTCAGGTGAGCCTTCAAACAGCCCTTTGAGACACCCCGTTTTCTTTTTGGTTAGAAGCAGGCTTCGAGTAGTTTGAAGGACTCACCTTAGAACCAAGGGTGGGCTGAATGCTGGCATTGTTCTTGTGTGGGGCTGCTGCTGGTTCCCATCATCTAGTTTCAATCTCTCAGTTCTATGTCAGGCCTTCAGATGGGCCACTGGGGATAGTGTGTCACCCAATCTTACTGTTAGAGAATCAATATACCTCCCCAGTGAGAAATCACTCCACACACTTGAAGATTAATAAAGGAAAAAAAAAATCCCCAATATAGCAAGTGGCCAGCTCTGGCTAATGCTCAAAGAGGAGCCGGCCACAACTAGAAGATTTTAACTAGCTTACATACACCTTAGGCTAGTGCATTCCACATAGACTGTCATCTTAAATCTCTTCCAGGTCCAAGTCACACACTGAACAATTTAAACAGAGACTGGAGACTACAAGTCTGGCCATTTGGGCAGACGGGAGATTTGCACAGTCAAAGATATTGCCAGAATTATTTAAGTACACCAGTGTTGTTATTTTCAAACAGCTGTTACCCAGGTTCATTTTGCTCACTAGGAAGAATTATGCTTTTTCTGATAAGAGCACAGGGCACTTAATGGTGGTTGTCACCCTGCCTTGCCTCCTTGAGCTGCTAATTAGAGACATGTTCTTTGATATGGGGATGGTCCTAAGGGCCAGTTGAGAGTCAGAATTGTCTCCTTTTGGTGTGGAAATGGAGTCTCCTTGGAGGTCAATCTTGGTGAACAGACATTAGCAGAAACTTTCTCAGCAGCCCTAAACTTCAATTGAGGAACAAAATGTTCTTTCTTTCAGTTTCTATCAAGTTGGTCAGTACATTACGGACTTCCAGTCATATTGGAGGCAGCATCCCCTTAGATAAATTCACTTTCTATAACTTAGTATTTCCCAAGTGAGTTTATTAGTAAATCCTTCCTAACATCAGTTGTCCTGCCTCAAGTTCCTCCTGCATCAGTACCACACCCCATCACTTGCTGTACAAGACCCAGTATCTTACAATAAAGTGAATTCCCTCTATCTTCTGTAGGTGCTGAAAGAGTTTGACTTCCTTATTTTGTATGAGTGACTGTCCAGGAATGTGGTCTTTAAGAATTGCTCAGGAAGCTGGGCAGTGGTGGCGCATGCCTTTAATCTCTCTGTGAGTTCAAGGCCAGTCTGGTCTACAAAGGGAATTCCAGGACAGCCAGGGCTACACAGAAAGAACCTGTCTCAAAAGTCAAAAACAGGGCTGGAGAGATGGCTCAGCGGTTAAGAGCACTGGCTGCTCTCCCAGAGGTCTTGAGTTCAATTCCCAGCAACCACATGGTGGCTCACAACCATCTGTAATGAGATCTGGCACATAGGCAGAACACTGTATACATAATACACAATAAATAAATCTTTTAAAAAAAAAGAAAAGAAAAAAGTCAAAAACAAAGAGAAAACAAGCAAACAAAAGAATTGCTTGGGAAAGGCCAAGATGAATCTAATGAGTAAAGCCTGATCTGCATTTCGAGAATGTCTTGTTTTAATAACCGGTACCTCGACAGCTCTGGTGCAGCTAGCTAAGGTGATAAGGACAAAACCAGTCTGCAGAAAGACCTATTTAAATCAGAGCGAGAGACAGACAGACTAACAAACAAAACTCAGCAAAGAGAAAGTCAGCACAATCCTTCTCACCTCCTGGAGTATCTTAAAAGAAGAGGTTGTGGTGAGAAGGTAATGCAATTTTTCAGCCAGTATTTTTAATGACTGCTGTCTTTTAATATTAAAGAGTAACATGGGAGGTAGGAAGTGTTCTCTTTTGTGCTGAGCAGTGAGTTCACCATTTATAAAATGTCTTACTCTATATTTTACATCATGTAAAAAATAGCATACGTTTTGTATAACTTTATACCCTCTAGTGGTCTAAGCAAGGGGAAATTTCTAGATCTTTCTCTTTTCTTTTTCTTCTTTGCTTCCTCCCACCCCCCACCCCCTTACCCCCGCCCGCACCCCCGCCACTAGGTTTTATGCTGTAGCCCAGGCTAGCCTTGAATTCACAGCAATCCCCCTGCCTCAGCCTTCCAAGGGCTGGGTTTGCAGATGTGAGCCATCACACTTGGCTGGCTCTCTTCCTTTCCGTCTCCTGCAGTGTGTTATTTATAAAACCCCCTGCCACACACTTCTGCACTTCCTCTTTCACATCGCTTATTTTCTAGCCCAGGTTCCTTTTCTACCTTTCGCCCATTGGAGAAACAAAGCGCCCCCCAGTCTCCTTCCTGCTCTGGTCCTAAACTTTTCTCTCCTGGTCTCTTTTCACTTGGTTGCTTCTTGCCGACAACTCTGGCAGCTGAGCTTTCCCTCTGAACTGTAATCTTAGCTCTCCTCTCCGAATGAGCTGCCTGCTGCTGTTCATGTTTATTAGCATGGACTTTCATCCATATGTACGTCACTAAAGTAATAATTTAAATAATGCCTAAAAGATCGACCACACCTGGAATAAAATTATGTAACCTGTAAATCATTTGTAAGTGGTATGCTAGTTTTACTTTAGGTTCTAAAACCAAGAAGGCCACGCCTCTCTCTGAGACAGGAGTGCTAGCCCTTTGGGGACTCTTCCCCTATTGCCCTGTGCTCCAAACAGATGTCTGAGTCTAGTCCCAGCTAATACACAAAGCCATCTGTCTGTGTAACTCTTCAGCTGTTCGGAAAGAATGGACGGGCTGTGGAAACTATGTTATGTGCCCTCTCGTAGTTTACAAGCTCCAAAGTGACTTACAGAAAACACACATGAGAGCAGAAAACTTATTTCCCTGGGGCTGGTTATTTAGAATTCATGAAGGTGCTAGGTTACTGACTTGCATGCTTGGTAGGAAATGGGGATCTGAGGAAACAGAAAGTAATATATACATATGTATATGTATATGTATATAAAATCTGTAAATGTTCTAGAGACGTTTCTTACCTCCCTACAGATACTCCGTGAGAAAGTTTGTCCCGCCTAAGGCATCTAGTTGGTTTGGTTTTTGCTCTGCCTCAGGAGAGGTGTCACCTTAATAACAACGCTAATTATAATAGACAATAAATGATAATTTATGGGCGACCAAGGACCAAATGGCTGTGGGAGCTTTCATTAAAAAAACAAACAGCCCAACCACAACCTCTGGAAGCACGCTATAATAATTATCAGATATTTATATGCCCTCATCAATGCGCAGTTTTTATTGAAAAGTCCCTCCTTTGAACTTTTTATTATGGAAAAATTTTTTTCAAGGTACACAAATGCACTAGCCATTCTGTAACGCAGCTTCTACCGCCCCACTGCCCAGCTTCAACAATTCAGCTGTGTGCCCAACTGGTTGAAGCTAACTTCTTTTTTTTTTTTTCTTGAGCCGGAAATCTTTTACGTAAATGCCAGACCATCACAACATTTTACTGGTGAATATTTCAGTAAGCATCTTCGAAATGTTATAGCTTGGTTGCAAAATACACCTGTGATCCAAATAAGAAGCGCAGAACGCTCCTCGGCATTGGTGGAAACGCTGTGACAAGAGTTACGTGACCCTGGATTTTCGGGGGTGGGCCCCGAGCTGTCAGTCTTCGGCCTAGGCTGCGAAAGATCCGGTCCGGCAGCCGTGGACCCCCGGCACGTACCCGAGAGCCACAAACACCACCCACCCAAGCATGCGCAATCCAGACCCTGGAGTTGCTAAGGCCCCGGAGGAAGATAAGAGACGCAGGCTATAGCGAGAGCCAATCAGAGGACGCAACCGCCAATCAGCCAGCCAATCCGGAACCGAGATTAAATCAAGTCCTCCGCGTTCGGCATGCCCCACCCGTATCCAATCAGAGAGCCGGCTACTTTGGGCGGACTTTTCAAAACAGCGAAAACAAAACAAATCGGGGGGACCTTTAAAAGGTGTGATGCGTCCAGGAACGGTCTCCTTCCGCCCTCCGAACGGCTCGCTCATCTTTGCCGGCTTTCCGAGTCCATCCTGGAAATGAGGCTGAAATCCAGATTCCGCTCCCCACCCCGGAACCTGGCTCGGCGCGGCGAAGAGGAACAGAGGCAGCTAGCAGAGGCTGGGCACCGAGGCTCGGAGCGGGGACTCTTTGCCCGGCTCCACTGAGGAGCGCGAGAGAGGATCCCTCCGCGCGGAGTCACGCGCCCCGCCCCTTGGGGGCGTCTCCGACGGAAAACAAAAACAAGGGGTTTGCTCCGCTCGGGAGGCTGCGGCGGAGCCGGGAGGACGCGGAGTTGCGGGGCGGGCGCTGCGCCCCGCTGAGGAGCAGGATGCGGCCGGGGCTGTGAAGGCCGGGCGGTGGCGGGGAGGTCGGATGCGGGTCCCGGAGCACCGCTGAAGCGGCTGCCCCCCACCCCCCGACCCCGACCTCGGAGACGGGTCCGGACGCCCCCGCCGCGCCGGTTCGCGACGCCGGGGGCCCGCACGGTGAGTGGGGCCTCCCGGCTGGCTCTGGATTTCGTGGTGTCGGGTCGGGATCGCGGCGGCGGCGGCGGCGGGGCCCCCTGAGAGCTGCTTTCAGGGTCCCCAGCTGCAGCCCGGGGGCTGACAAGGGCTGCGGGGATGTTTTGAGAGGGGCGGGTGGCCACACGGGGGTTGACAGCCCCGGGGCTCTGCCCCGTTGCTGAACCGAGGGATGGTGTTCGTGCTCGGCGAGGGCGGACTGGACTCCACCTGCCCCCCCCACCACAGACAGCTAGGTAGGCCGCCCTGTCCTGGACGGTGGGCTCGTCGAAGCTGCAGAAGCCGAGGGGGCAGCTTGGAGGTGGGCTCCGCGAGAGAGGGGGGGTCCCTGGGGCGGGGCTCCCGGAGCGGGGCGGGCCTCCGAGGCCGCCTCCTTCCAGTTCTTTGTTCGGTCTCGAGACTCCCCCTCCCTTCTCTCCCATTGTGCAACGCCCCGCCCCAGACTGGCTGGCCTCAGTTTTCCCGTCCGTCCGTCCCCCCCCCCCCCCCCCCGCATTCCTCTAGGCAGAAGTCCCTTCTGTGCTGTTCAGGTGATGCGGACAGTTGGGGACATTACGCTCCTTGGGCAGTTTTCCTGTTTGCCCAGCACTGCTAGCCAGAGGGCTGGTCTGACCCAGCCCTGGCCAGCGGAGGTGACCGAGGTCCTGGTCCCACGCCACGCCTCCTTGGCTTTTGGGGAGGATTCCCCTGGGGCTCACAGATGTGACCGTTCCCCCTGGGTCTGGTTTGTGTGAGCTGGGGGCGTCCCTAGCTGGAGGGCTCCTGGCCCGCATTACATTCTTAACCCGCCACGGTGTGTTTGCTGCAGATGAAGGATTTGGGGGCCGAGCACTTGGCAGGTGGCGAAGGGGTTCAGCTTCTCGGATTGTTGAACTTCTACCTGGAACAAGAACAGAGATTTCAACCTCGAGAAAAAGGGCTGAGCTTGATGGAGGCCACCCCAGAGGTAAATTGGAGAATTGGTAGGAATTTGGAGAAGGGAACTTTTTGTTTCCCCCAGTTAAGTCAGTACTGAAGGCTACAAAGTTAAATCCAAAAATGGCCTTCCTGTACTAAGAAAAACCCGAAACCGCACAAGGCTGTCTGCTTTTGTTCTAAATTGAAGTTAGACCAAGTGTAGTGTAGAGGTGTTTCTTCAGACAGTGGGGGCTTCCTAGGGAATATTTATGATAGGATCTCAAATAATCTTAGAAAACAGAAGCACCATACATAATAATTATACAAAATTACATAATTTTTCCATCACTATCTGTTCTAGGGGAATTGAATTGTACCGGAAGTGCCTGGAACTGGGCAAAAAAGACGTCACCTTACATTGAGCTGTAAAGCTCTCTTCTATGTTGGATAACTTTTAAAAGCATTGATTTATGTTTTGTATCTGAAAATATATAGATAGCTTTAAGTAGCTCATACTCATAAAATGTTGAAAACTAAACGGGAAAGTATAGTTTCTGGACCTATGTATTCAATTCTAAGAAAATAAACTTGGATTCCTGGTTTTTTATTTCAGAATGATAACACTTTATGTTCAAGATTGAGAAATGCCAAAGTAGAAGATTTAAGAAGTTTAACTAACTTTTTTGGATCTTGCACTGAAACTTTTGTTCTGGCTGTCAATATTTTGGATAGGTTCTTGGCTCTTATGAAGGTATTTAATCATTTTTATTAAATCTACATTTTTTTCCTTTGGTATCTTTATTTTTATTTTTGTTTTTTTTGAGACAGGGTTACTCAGTGTAGATCTGGCTGTTCTGGAACTAGCTCTGTAGACTAACTATCCTGACCTCTAACTCAGAGACCTGGTTGCCTCCACCTCCGCCTACCTCTCCTGAGTGCTGGAATTAAAGATGTGTGCTACCACATCCGACAAATCTCCATTTTTTTCAATATTCAGTACCCAATAGTGTCTAACGCACAGGGCTCAATGATATTTGTCAAATGGATGTAATAAAGCATCCTGTCCATAAACTTAAAGTAATAAGAATTCATTCATACCAAAGAGACTGCAAAATTGTATATCTAGATCTTTGTACCTCTTAAATGTGTTCTCTTAAAGATATTATAAAAGGAAGACAAGCATGCTTTAAGTACTTAGTGTTTATATAGGAGGCTGGGGGGCGGGGGAGAACGTGAGAACTGATTAAAATTCACCTTGTTAAAAAATGCCATGATGATATCAGTTACAGGCTGATTTATAAAACTGCCCAATCTGACATAAAAGAAGCTAGACTTTATTTTTAAAAAAGGTAAAATACTGCTGGGGGGGTAATATTTTCATTTTTCATCATGTTTTTCTTGAAGCCTACATGTTTTTTAATACTGAAACATGACAAATGGAGTGTAACAGTATATTAAAGTTGACCTGCTGCCTTTTCTGTAAGGCCTTTCAAAGCAGGGAACCACAGTCTTATTAATAGTCAGCAGCAACTGTTAAAAAAGGGCAAATTCTGTGGCCAATAGGATCGCTGTCAGCTGCTGGGTCACCTTCTAGGGCACTGAGAAGAAAAGGGCACCCATCTGTTCATGGCAGCTCCACATAAGTCCTCCACACGGCACAGTTAATGAGGTGCTTCTCCTGGGCAAGATTACATTATGTAATGGTAGAGTTTTGAATAAAAAGAGCAGATGTAGAATAGTTTTCCTTTATCCAAAGCGGTAGAATGCTGTGTGGTGTGTGTATGTTCATGGGTGTGTTCAAAGGATTGTTTTGAGGGAAGATGTACTATTCTCAGTTTTATTACGTCTGAATAGGAAGTGTAACTCAGTGCCAGAAAGCAAGCTTTTGAACCAGCTTTGGGATTATTTGATGTGCATTTAAATTTAATAAATGCTCAAATAGCCATTTTTTTCTTTTTAAAGAGAGGTGACAATGGTCTAAAATGTAAAAATAATTGCAGGTAAAGGCAAGTGCATCTAAGAAACAGCGTGAAGTTTGTTCAGTGGCTGTCTTGCTACATCTAAGTAGTGATTGTTGGGATTCCTTTTGTTCTGTTTTTTAGGTGAAACCGAAACATTTGTCTTGCATTGGAGTCTGTTGTTTTTTGCTGGCAGCTAGGATGGTGGAAGAAGAATGCAACATTCCACCCACTCACGATGTGATCCGGATCAGTCAGTGTAAATGCACGGCTTCTGACATTAAACGGATGGAGAAAATAATCTCAGAGAAATTGCACTATGAGTTGGAAGCTACTACTGCCTTAAACTTTTTGCACTTATACCACGCAATTGTATTTTGTCACACTTCAGAAAGGTGAGTGGGACTTGTGGAATATCCCTGTGCCTTGAACATCACCTCAACTTAGGTAGGGAATTAGATTGTCCATAAATCTTACTCCCTCTGAACGTGCATTTGAGTCCTTAAAACCCAAGTAACTTCTCCGAAGGTTTGATAACTCTTTCTCCCTTGCTTTGCACAGGAAGGAGACTCTGAGCCTCGACAAACTAGAAGCTCAGCTGAAAGCTTGCAACTGCCGGCTTGTCTTTTCAAAAGCAAAAGTGAGTCTGTTTCTTGCTTACGTATGTCTCACGGTTTCTGTTGCGATTTTTTCCCCTAATGTGTGTGTTTTTGTTTGTTTGTTTTTTGCAGCCATCTGTATTAGCTCTGTGCCTTCTCAATTTGGAAATAGAAACGGTAAAATCCGTTGAATTGCTGGAAATTCTTCTGCTTGTTAAAAAACATTTGAAGGTAAGTATCTTTGGGCTTTGTTTTCTTGTGGTGTCTTAAATATTTTATGTAACACTTTGTGAAATTCTCAGCGTGTGTTCATTTTTCTTGTATGTCCGCTGTTCTAATTCTCAAAGTTCGCTTTCACCCAGACAGTATTAAGTCAGAAGAAACTCTCACTTAGCCCAGCTTTTTTCTGAATGCAGGTGTTCCTTCTGGGGACTTGTTTGCTATGGCAGGGTAGCTGTGCATACTCCCAGTACCTGCCCTCAACTGTGTCCTGTAAAGTACGCTGAATACCCTAAGGTGATGGATGATGTCCCCTCACGGCTGTATGTGGAGGGCTGAGACACCTCAGTAGCACTACCAAAATTATCAGCAGTTTTTTAAAGCCCTTAGCTGGACCATGCCTGTAAGTTTTTGCAGTCATGGCAAAAAACAACAGCACAGTGCTTTTTCTTATTTAAACTAATAGTCTGGTTAAAGAAATGCAAATTTTAACACGAAACGATGTTTATTGTTATTGTGACTTAGTGTTAGATAATAGTGAATATGAGAAGTACTTTGGGGTTCTTACAAAGACATGGGCAATCCATGGGAGGTTCTGTGATTAGGAACCTGGCTGAAAATCCATCATCTGCAAGAATGAAGGTTTGTCTAGCAAAGGCTTATGGCTAAGAAATGGGTAGGCTATTTAGCTCAGTGGTAGAGCCCTTGCCTAGCAAGCACAAGGCCATGGGTTCGGTCCTCAGCTCCTGGGGGGAAAAAAAAAGAAATGGGTAGGCTAGGTACATTGGGGACATCGTTTCAGGGTGGAATGGCTGGGCTGCAGTCACAAACAGGGCTAAGTGTATCCAAGGCAGTTCTTCAGAAGCCAAGTATGTAGATGAGTCAAGGAATCATGGATGACCAAGACT